GGTTGGTTTTTAGTGTGTTTGTAAATTGATAATTTATGTATGCATTGTATGCATGCATGCATGTGACAATGGATTCACAAATAAAATTTGATACACACTACCATCATCATCATCATCATAATCACCACAGTTATTTTATTTCGTTTCGGTTGTTAATTTTCATTTCATTTTGATGATGACAACCAATGATCATTGATTGTTTGTTTGTTTGTTTTTCATTGACAATTTCAACATTTAACACTTTACTTTGGTTGGTGTGAATGAATTTAATGATTTTTCAATATTGATTTTTTTTTTATTTTCTCCAAAATTGATTCCAAATATTTGTGATTGGTGGGAATTTTCTTTTTTTAAAAAGTAAACCACCAGAAATTGCTATTTATAACCATCCAAAGATCTAAACATCAACCATATAATCTCCTGGTGACTGGGTAAAGGGTGTTTGAAAAACTTATTATTATTTTTTTTTATTACATAGATCAAAAGAAAACAATAATCATTATTATCTGATAATGCTCACCCATCATTATTTGATGATGATGATGATCATAAAAAAATTATAATTTTTTCTTTTCTTTTTTTTGGAATTTGTCATCGAATATCAAATTTATCTGTGTTTTTCGTTCATTGTGATTGACAACTTAAGTGTTAAATTTCATCCAAAAACAGCACAAAACAATCACTATTGATCATTTGAGAATTGCGTTTGTACATTTTTCTTTCTTTTGTTTTCCATCCACATTTGGTTATTCACATTTTGGATTTTTTCCGGTGCAGAAACATTGTTGTTTCTTTTTTCATTTGATAAAAAAATCAAAACAATGTCCACTATCGATACCGAAAACGATATCAAAGTGATGGACGATACAAATAATAATAATATTGAGCGAAAAAAACGTAATGTTCGAATACAATTTGATCTGGCTAACGATGATGATAATGATAATGATAATGGTGAACAACAACAAATCATCAATGATGATAATCGACGACGACGACGATCTAACGATGATAATGTCCATCATGATCATCAAAAAAGTGGTTGGGCCAAATTTCGATTTAGTTTGAAGAAAAAACAAGTAAATAAAAACCATTCCAAACAACAACAACCAAATCAATCAACAGAAATTATTGCAAAGAATAAATTTGATGAAAAATCAATTCGAAAACAAAAATTAAAACTAATCAAATATTTATCAACTGAAGAACCGATTATGAAAAATATTAATATTGATGATTATGAACGTCGTTTATTAACGGCCCAACAACAACAACAACAATCATCATCATCGAACAATGAAGTAAATAATATTGATGTAAATAAATATTTTCGTATACCGGAATCAAAAATTAATGATAAATTATGGCGTATTCCATATCATTTTGCAACCGATGATGATGATGATGATGA